CCCCCAAAACCCCAAAACCCCAAAACCCCAATAGTTTGAATATTATTGAATGCTTTCGGATTTAATTGACTTCTGATTGTCAAAAAGTTCTAGATAATAAGCATGTTAATATTTTGAACATGGCAAATTAGAAATGAAATACTTGCTTACCTTTCAGTAAATGCTCAAGGTCTTCGATATAATATTTGGCTTTAGTAGGTCTCTTTCCAATAGTGCCTAGATGTTAGAAGAGTTAAATACAGAGAAAAGATGTGAAATTCTTGGTGCAATATTCATTCATCTTTGTCTGGTCTTTTAACAAAGAGAAAATTTCTTCATTTGAACTATGTATAAGCATTCATTCTTACTTATCGTCTCCTATGTATAGGATAAAGTCAATGTCGGCAGTTCTGGAATAACCTTTAAGGATCTTGTTTACAACGATTTCTTTAATATTTTTGTTTCTTGCTTCAAGATATCCCTTTCCGATACAAACCTCAATGTTAAAATATTTTAAGGTTTCTTGAAGATCAAGTTTCATTTGTTTTGCAGCAGAGTTTCCATATTCAGAATCTACTATGCTAAAATTCCACATGATCGTGCTTTCATGCTCTTCAATGAAAGAGCCATCAACTGATTCACAGTAAACTTTCATGATTCTTTTAGCCTATTTTGTGAGAATTAAATTACTTCTTCAATCCATGAATTATCTAATTCTTTCAGTAATCTATCCCACTTGTTTTCTCCTAGAATACATTAGAGTCACAAGATGGTAAAATGTCTGAAGTTCCGCCTCATAAGAGGACTTGTAGTGATGTTCTAATAAAAATAGTACCCTGAAGTATTATAGCACCTCAGGATATCATAAAGATTTAGTGGTGTTTGGTTACTGTAGAAACCTTACTTGTCTTTTTAGAGCTGGTTTCATCATACCTATCACTCTTCTTAATGATAAGGTCTAGCTGGTTATTTTCCATCAGGGCCAATAATCCATACTTTATTCTCTACTTCTCTGGAAAGAGAGTCTAGTAAATGAATAGCTTTATCTGAAATCTCTGGGTGGCTGAAATTGAAATCATTTGCAGTCGCCTTTCCTTGCATACTATCAATCCCGTGAGTGTCGATCATTATAAGTCTTTTTGAGGTGTTCTCATAAGCATTTAAGAAAGCTTCATGATCTAATGGTTTTGTATTCTTTCGATGAATCAATCTGTGCTTGACAACCTCTGACTCTATCCCCAGGAATAGAGAAGATTCTGTTGTTTCGTGAGAGCATTTCAAATCTCTTAAAAACTGGTTTGCCCAGCTTAGAGTTGAATGCTTGAGGACATATTGCAGCATATTTCTCATCCTCTTATGTTTTTCTTTCTTGTCCATACTCATTGCTCTTTCAAGAATATTTGAGGTTTCTTTCAAGCTGTGAGGATTACATTTTAAGACTCCTCCAAGCGCTCTAATTCCTCCTGCAAATTCTGAGAGAACAATAAGGGAGTTACTCTCCTTTTTCAGGGATCATCTGGTTGCTATATACTCTAGAGAGGGAAGTCTCAGACCTCCTCTGAGAGTTCAATTGAAGAGGATGTTGGTCCTAGCCCAGAGGAGAATCCTCTTATTTTTCCGTGAGAACTTCATATTTTACGGAAATGACCTTTGATCCAAACTCCTTTTTAATATCATCTTTAATCTTGGTGATGATGTCCTTGTATTCCTTTACTTTGAATTCCTTTCCAACAGAGATAGGGTCGAGGTACTGGATCAATTTACATTCGCCAGCTAGTGCTGGGTTCATCCTGAGTAGCTTTTGGAAAGCAAGGAATTTCTCTTTAATCCCAGCAATATGAGTCAATGTATCAATTGAGGAAATTATGGTCTTTGTCTTTCTTTTACAAGTCTTTAATAACCTCTTGAATGCTGGAGAATGGACATGATTGTAGATTGAGTCATATGAGACTCCTACATGAGCAATAACTAGCGAAACATTTCTTCCATTATAATCAATACCTATTTGGCCACTTCTTCTGAACTCGAAGTCCACATTTAAAATTCTTTTACAGATAGTAAAGAAGTTTCTTGCATATTCAAAGGAGTGGAAGCCAATTCAGTCACAATTTAGCAGAGATTTGAGAAGTCTTTCTCTGTATGGAATGAGTCTGAAGATCTCACTAGCAGGGAATGGACAATGCAGGAAAAGCCCAATACATGTATCAATGTTATTTTCTCTTAAGTAGCGAGGCACCATGATGAAATGCTGATTGTTCACCCAGATGATAGGATTTTTCTTCTTTGGATAAACTTCGTTATTAATGAACTCTACAATAAAATCAGCGAATATTTGGTTAACTTCTCTATATCAATTCCAGTCATCAAACTGGTCATAAGACTCTTTGTGCTCATAATGAGTTTTGAAATTGTGGAAAAGGGGGATTACTTGTCTTTCATAGAAATTATAAAACTCAGCTATGACTTCTTTTTCAAAAAAAATTGGCATGCATCTCTTTTCACGTAGAAGATTGGTGATTTCTTCCTTCTCTTTATCGTCTTTAGGGTGATAAGCTGCCCATCCAATCCACCACTCTTCAACTTTTGATCCAGGATCTCTATCATATAGCTTTGAGTAAAGAAGGGAGGAGCTAGGGACAAGAGAAATCTTTCCTGTTGGGTCTTTGGATATTTTCAATGGGAGAATCATAGATACCATTATTACAAACTCTTTCTCTGTTAGTTCAAATTCATGCTTAGAGGAATGAGCATCTTCAAATCCCTTTGAATAATCTGTGTCTAATTTGACTGCAGGAGCCTGACTCTCATTTTTCTGAACTGCGTTTGAATCTAAATTTTCCAACTTTGTAAAATCTTGGACACTAAGGACCTTCATCTCTAAATCCTTGAGGTTCCTGACAACTCCTGATGCTTTCCGATGGTGCTCATCTTCTTCAGAAGATGAGTCCATTTCATCAATTAACTTATTCTGGCCAAGCTTTAGTTCTTGGAGGTTGTAGAAAGACTTTTGTTTCTTGCTCATCAGATTTAGCCTATCTTTCTCTAAAGAATTTTCTGATTTTTCATTTCTCTCTTCTAATACAGCAGTTTGCTTTTCTTCTTCTAAATTAGTCTTCTTCCTTGGAACTGAGGTGGCAAAGGTTTCTGCAAACTTTACTTGATGCTTTGGGTCTGAATTAAAATCATGAGATCTTATTTTAGTAAGCTTCTTATTTAGGCTTATCCCTACTGAATTGGCTAAGCCTATTTTTGAAGATGCTAGATATACTCTTGGTTAGTTTAATCATTTTTATTTGGATATGCCTTGATCCTTCCTGCTCCTCAACAGAGAAAATTCCTTTTTGCTTCACAGTAAGTATTCTGTTACCATTGTCTGGCAATTCTTCCCATCTGCTTACAGTGTTATTTATGGAATTGACTATCACATATTTATATTCAAAGGTGCTCATTGTTGGAATGTGAATTGTACCACTCCAAAAGGGAAAACAAGTAGCATCAGTTAATAGCTTGACTCCTTTGGAAGGGTCCCACGAACCCAATTCTGGCAGTGAGCCAACTAGGATGATTCTTTCTTCAGGCTTGGTTGATTCACACCTGAATATCATCCTCATCTCAACCCTATCTTGTGTATCCATTTATAATTAAAAATTTATTCAATAATTTTGATTGGATATGGGGTTTTGGGGTTTTGGGGTTTTGGGGTTTTGGGGTTTTGGGGTTTTGGGGGTTTGGGGTTTTGGGGTTTTGGGGGT